TTAGGTGGCTATGTTGCATTATGTGAGGAATGAGTCTGTGTGAGATTTTTGTATTTATCTGTTACACTCTAATCAGTAAGAATCTTTGAAAACAACCTGTTACTTTAGAGCAGCTCAGCCAATCATTGGAAGAGGCATTGCCTTATACAAGTCATTTGAATGTTTAGTCATCATTTTATCGTTTTAAAGATCTGCTGCTCATGAAATCTATAGGGTGTGTGTGTGTGGAGAGAGGGAGGGAGGGGAAGAGAGAGAGAGACTTGTTCAGTGTGATGTATTCAGTGTAGCTGAATAGTAATACTGGTTAATAACCAGTGAATAACCAGTGAAGTTGATGAACATGGGTGAGTGTACTTTTTCATTTTTAAATACATTGTTTGCAAAAGGACCATATTTTCAAAATCAATGAACAACAGTCTTCGCTGACAAATGTAGACAGGAATTTTAGAATGTCATATTGGATAATCAGGTAATTATGCTTCCACAATGTCTATATCCAAAGAATTTGTAGGGAAAGTTCTGCATGGCATTAATCGGACATGGTTCAATGCCACAATTGCCTGTGAGTGTCTTCAGTAGGCTTTGCCCACTGCATAATGCTATATTATCCAAAGTGGTTTTCCAAATGTTGTAGTCCACCTTGGAATATTCGGTGAAGTGATTATGTGGTTCTCATGAAACCACCCTTTATAAAATCTGGCACCACTGGCTATGACTAACAGTCTGTGTCTGCTCAGCAGAGTGAGGGTGAGCCCCAAGTCAATATTTGGACTAAGAAATAAATCAAGACGGATATTATAGGGAGGTTTGTTCTGTCTTCTGAGTTAAGAAAACCATGCAACCCCTAACATAGCTTGCTTCACATATGTGTTTTTGCACTGTTCCTTTTTAGCAGCTTGAATAACTGGGCTGAGAGCAGCTAATTGGTTCAATGCAGGAATGTGCAAAGGAAACATCATTTCATTTTCACTGCAAAAGCCACTCTCATGTTATTTCATCTTCATTTTAATTGTCTTTATTTTTCTTTATCAGCCTTTTCTTGCATTTTGTCTTACTCACTGATTTCAGGGGAGTCCCCCTCTCTTCTAGTAACTCGGTGTTTCCATCCAGATGATGCAATATTGGCAGTCACTAATATTTGCTCAAGGCATCAAGCTGCCAGATACTAGGCAGATTGGACAGAAAGGATAAAAATGAGTGTGCAAAATGGAAGTGAGAGTATCCACATTCGTTTCCGCTGCCCCACACACTCATGCTCATTTCTATATTCAAGAAAGGAATTCAAGACAAAGGAGGGGGCATCATTCCACTATCCAAATGACTGCAAACCACTGGCTGGGGGGCTTGGGTGTCCTTTGATGAGGTGCCTTGAGCACCCTGGGCTGCTGTGGCTGATGCTCATTGGCTTTGCTTTCCCTTGGGCCCTATCACACAGACAGGGGGGACAGGTCTTCTCTTTGCTGACCTGGTTAGGTCTGGGTGCAGGTTTAGGTTCAAGACCAATTCCTGATCCTGCCGGGATCAGGTCACTTGGCCAGTGGAGCAGCAGAGTGTCCAGACTGATCCGTGGGGTAGAGATCAGTGATGGGCCAGGTGATCCTTGTTGAGAGGCAGACCCACTTGTAAGTACCAAAGGACAAGACAGGAAGCTGGCCCAAGAATCTCACCAGATGTCAAGGTAAAGTTCAAATCAGAACTAACAAGAGTGACAAATCTAGAAGCAAGTCAGAACCAGAAACCAACCAAAGGATGCAGGAATAAAGCAAATGTTGCTCAGCCAAAGCTCTAATAGAACAGGAAGCTCTTTTAAGTTCCTTCCTTTCCAGGAGGTTTCAGTGGCCAGCCTGGGTGGGCAGAGTCCATCCAGGACCTAGGCAGATACAGCACCCTGCCGTTTGATGGCTAATGATGCCATGAAGTGGTACATTATTAGACAGACACCTTATGCAGGGTGCAGTTCACAACATCCACATTCTTCAAACTGGTCAAGGGAAAATACCTACATCTCTCTTCAATAAACCTCTACATAGTCCACAACTGGTCAGAACAAGGAGAAGGTATTTTCTAAGCCATGCCATAGAACTCACCCTGAATTTTTGTACTGTAAATTGCAATTGATTCATGGATTGTACTTGCAGTAAAGCCCGTGCATATATATCCAATTATACTAGCTTGTAGGACTCAAATATGTGGTTACTGAAAGAATAAACTATCATCGCTAGCCAACCAAAATTGGATGTAACTATGCACATGAATCCCATTGGTTTGATGGAAAAATTAAGCATGTGGTTTAACCTGTCCTATGGAAATTGATTGATTGAGAATGGTTCATTTCTCATTGGACTGTATTCTTCGTTCCTTTTTTTTTCCCTTTGAAATGAAGGACCTGCTTATGCTATGAAGCCCTGTGGATAAGTACTAAGTTCACCAAGTTTAGCCTGCAACTAGGCTAGGATATTGAAAATACTTTGAAACATTGCAACAGCTGGCAGAACTGCTTGCAATGTCAACTTTCTAAAAACAACAACAACCACCCAACAAACAGAAAACATAATCCTCATCCTCCTCCAGGAAAAAAAAAACCTCCTAAATGTTTTGGGTAAAACCAATCCCAATGAAAAAATGTACAGAGATAAAAATCCTAAGTTCACCTTACATGAAGCTGGCCAGCATGGGCATTCTGTGTTGGCTGAGATGGCCTGTTCTCAGGCTTCTGTCACTCTTATCTTGACCATTCTCTGGCATGACTAAACATGCATGGATCTATTGATTATAGGAATGATTTGAGCATATGTCAATCTTTCCCCTAGAATTTGGACCAGGCTGTGTCCACTCTTCCAGGCTAGCATGCATGGCACTTGGCTGCTTTGTTTTCCTTTTGCTTCACATGGCCAGTTGCATTAGGAATTTGCTTTGGAGGCCAGTGTACATTTGCATTACACTGCAAAACCCAAATCTGCAAATCAAACATTTTAGTCTTCCTGCAACAGGTAAGGAACTTGTTTTTTTAATACAAACAAAATATATGAGCAGGCAATTTAAATCCCACATTATGGACAATACCCAAGCTGCTTCCCTTACTGCACTTAGAAATTGCAGATTAACAAAATTTAGGTTGTCCCAGCTGATCATGTTCCTATTTAGTCATAGATCAGAAATGTATTCCTTGTGCAATTTTCCTGGACATGGTTTTTACTCAGGCCAACACGTGGAGATCTATTAGTAAGAAATCCTAAGTGTGCAGAAATCATAATGATGATACATACCTATTCATCCTTAGTACAGTATAAGGGTCAATAAAAATGTTCAATTTCAAACCAAGGCTCTTTTGCTGAAATTTACATTTAAAGGCAGTTGAACATTTATCAGTTAAGGCTAAAATCCTGTACCCACTTGAACTCATTGAACAGAATGATACTTACTTCTGAGTAGACATATGTACTCAGAAGTAATGTAACTTACACTAAAGCCATGTAGCACTTGTAACTGGGGCATATAATTACTGAGATATTCACATTTCTGTGCTAATGTCTGCTCATTGTCTAGGTTTATTGCCAAGACATACAGTACTTCCTTTCCCATGACCTTCTGTGCATTAATTTGCCCCCTTTGCTGTATCACCTAAACAGGAGATATTTTGTTCCCACCTCTGTGTAATCTCACATTATTTTTCTCTCTGCTTTGTTAATTACAACAAAGCCAAAACCAACCAGTCCCAGTTATCCAACATACCCCCTAACAGCAATGATAAGTGTCTATCTGTCCAATCCCTCTCAGTGGTTTCCTGGTTTCCTATTTCACTTAGGCATTGTCATTCTTTTCTGCAAAGTTAGAAATGTTCTAGCTTTCTCAGGTCTCTTCAGCAACTTCCTTTTAAGGTGCCAGTCCTGTGCACGCTTACTGATTGAACTCGTTGGCATCTACTTACAAGTAAGTGTAAGATGAGGTCACACATGTGATTTCACATAGATTTTATGCAGACTATAATTCTGTACCTTTGCAGAGCAATGAAAACAACAGGACTTAGAGCCGCTATCCATATTATGCTTTCATATTGTGGAATTTTCCTGGTAGTCACATCCATATTGAAAATTGTAGATACTTCCTATGGAGCCCCACTTGCTCTTTTCATAAAGAGCTCCTGGATGTGTGGGGTTCTTAATTCACATCACTGGAATGCACAGCCCTGCACAAGCATCCTCTTGCTTGCGCAGGAAGCACTATTCTCCATAGATCTGAAACTGAGATGCCTTGGGAAAGTTCCATGTGCATAACAGGATCTAAGGGATTGCTGGATGAGATGACCCCATCAGGACATCTTTATTGATTTGAGGGAAGGCATGAGTATGATGAGAATCCAGAAATGACACTGGCTGCCAGTGTCTTTCTCATATGTACAAACACCTTTCCTTTGATATGATACTGGACAGGAGAAGGATTTTCAAGACAAGGGGCCACCAACAGGCATTGCACCATGATTTCCTTCTCCACTCAACATGAGATGTACTTAATACAGTCCAGTTTAGTGCATCCTTATGATAAAAGACACTGAAATAGACACACAGTTCCACAGTTCTATCTCCCTTTTTCATACACCCCAAAAGCCCCCAAATAAAGCCCCCTCCCCTTTAACAACTTGCTGGATTTCAAAAGGCCTTAGGAAAGAGTGGCAGCCCCCCCTTGCCCTGCATACCTTTTTAAATGAACTGATTCATTTACCCCTCAAAGCAGGCCTACTTTGTTGTTTGTTGCAGAAATCAGGCACACTAACAGAAATATTGAATAACACTGCTGCCTATTCAATGCAGACATTGGGAAATGTATCTATAGGAGTGGGGGGTGGGGTGGAGCCCAAACTTTCTAGTCTTACTTGAAATACTTAAAAACCCTCAAAATGCCATGTTCCCACTTCATGGACATCTGGTGGCTTTCATGACATTAAAAAAGGAAGAAAATGTACAAAGGAGGAGAAAGGTCAACAGACAGAGGAGTTCCCATACCTCAGTAAAAGGCGACCAACTTCTGAAAGTTACAGATTGCTGCTGTCCTCTGATGAGGCTGTCTTCTTGGCTACCGACTGCTGAGCTCCCTTCAATGTCAGAATGAAAAACATTGCTCTCCGGTGAAGCAGAGCTGGAGGAGAATGACTCCAGGAAGGCGAATATAGGGAAAAGCAGGGGCCAGGCCAAGATCAAAGCCATCTCCTCTGTTCACATCCAGCAGTGATCCTGCAGTGCCTTCGTGCTTAATTTGTTTGCTTCTGCTTTAATCAGCCCCCCACCCCCCTGCTCCGTTGAGTGGCGCCTCAGTTATTTTAAGTTTCAGCTTCCAGATGTGGCACTTTGCTCAGGCAGTTTTTCAGCAGACCTTTATTAAGGAGTGCCTTTGCTTTCTCTCTCAGTCGCTTTCTGTGCCTGTAGCTCCTCTTTCTCCCCAGAGGCTCCAGCTGAATAACAGACAGATGGGCAGTGCTTAAAAAGCGAGTGTCAAAATGCGGATTGTATTCCAGGAAAGCTGTGCTGCCACCTTATCTTCTCTCTGTCAGGATGCAGACTGAGGCGGCCGCCAGACTCTGCTTTTCCTCACATTCTCAGGATCATCACTCCCTTGGCACCTTCCCATTGGAGAACCACCCTCTCGAAATGTTGCCGTTCACACACTGAAGTCAGACTCCCTAAACCTCTGGGCCATGCCAAGTCCTACCATCGGGATTCAATAAGGAGCTTTTGGACACAGTCAGCTCTAATGTCTTTTAGTACGTACCTTCAGTTGCAGAAAATGTAGGGTTTTTACTTTCCTGTTAACAATTTGTGACCCAAGAGAATCAAAGGAAGAGAAGATTCTTTGCAGCCTGAATGTCAAAAGAAGTAAAAAGAAGGGGGAAAAAAAGAAGGAAAGAAAGAGAAAGCCCTTTCTTTCAACCCCAATTCACTGAAAAATGCATGGCTTAATTAGCTCCTCCAGTTTCTTCAGCCCCACCTTTCATAATCATGCCTGTTCATTTTTTAAAGAAGAATATTGTACAGCACAGATTCAGAAAGTGACTTCATTACGCAGATGCATGAACTTTTATTTACAAAGACCAACTTGTTTGCCTCCTCAAGAGATGCTTTGTGAGGACCCTGAAACAAGGCTCTTAGTGTATAGGAGCCTGCCAACTAGACTACTAGTCTGGACCCACTATTTTCTGATGGAAGGTTCCAGCAGATAATGACATCAGCAGAAGTAAATAAAGGTGGCAGGGCTCCCAGCAGAGCTGCCAGAGATTTTAGGGATCCTAGTGACCGCCTGGATCAATTTCATCCCTTTTCTTTCTCTTAAAGTTTCCTCTCCTTTCCAAGGAAAATGAGCTCTGTGGACTGTGATTCTGATCAGGTGTCATCTGTTGCCTTCCTTCCACTCAAGCAGAAATGTAAAAGAAAGTGATGCCTATAGACAAAATGATAATCACAGTGCTGAAATGCTGGGGTGGTGGAGATAAGATGCATTCTAGGCACCCGTCCAACTCTGTAATAGCAGGAGTATGGCCACTGCCATTCATGTTCTGGCAACATCCAGGCTGGTCTGCTCCAATTGGTGCACATGGAGCTGCCTTTGGAGACTTGGAATTTCAGTGCCAAATACTTCAGCTGTGTATCTCACAAGATCTCATAATAAGTGTCTCACAATAGCTTGACTGGTGCCCTGTTTCTATTAAGCAGTAATACACCATGTAACTTGGAATAAGGGTATCTCAAGAACTACTACTCTTTCAGGTTACTGGGATAAATTACGACTGAAAATCGAGTCTTTTCAGTATTGGCATGCTGGTTCTCTACTGTCTTCCCCAGGTACGGATTGGTTGGAGCCAGGATCTGCCTTTCATGAAGGGAAGGAATCTTTGGCCATACGAAGAGCTCTGATCACAGAAGGTCCCTCCACCTGATGTTTGGGAATCTTCTCCCATGCACCCAAACCACAGATCACCTCTTTCCAGAAGAGTTTTTGGCAGCCTTTTCACTGGCTGTGGAAAAAAAGGGTGGGGAAGCCATGATCACCTGTGCTATGGATCCAGCCTAATTCTATTTGCTCTATTTTTTAAAATGCAGATTATATATATTTTAAATGATACTGCTTGAAGCAAGCCATGTACATGTAGGAACCTGCTTAAATATGATTGATGACAGGTCTTGGGAAGGAAAAAAAAATCAGAATTTCATCTGAACAACATGAATTCTTAGAAGATTTCTTGTAATGTTTGTCTGCTTGGACTTGTAGCTACAACTGCTGCTGCTTGTAATTTGGTGAGGACAGGAAGGCCCAGACAAAGGCCTGATACAGGATGGAACTACAGATAGATGTGGGTTATGCAGATTAAACAAATTAGATGGCTCTGGCAATATGACCCAACATCATAAGCACGAACTTACCTAAGGATTTTTCTACATGAGGCCTTTAATGCAGCACTGAGTTGTCTGCTTCCAGACCTTTTGTAGGATCACAAAAAGTCCTTTGGCTCCTTTACATGTGTTTTTCCCTTAGTATTTTTCTTTCTCTGCCTTTCTGTATGTTGCATTATATAACCACAAGGTGGCACTGTGGTAAAGCAGACTTGCAAAAAGACTTGAACTTTTCAGTTTGGTTATTTCTGCCTTGGGAAAATAATAGCACATTTTCCTGGGCAGAACAGAATGCCATGGAAATGGTTGCAACTGCTATCATGTTATAATTCTTTATGTTCTCCTGCAGAGCAGGAGAAGGTTCAGAAAAAGGCAATCCAAATAGTGAGTAAAGGCATGTAATGGGGAGTGGGATGTTAGAAGAATATAAAATTCTGCATAGTGTGGAGAAATCTTTCTCATAGTAATAAAAGCTGATTAGTGGGAGATTCAGGAGATTCAGGACAGTTAAAAGAAAGTACTTCTTCACACAGTGTTGCTTCAATATGTCTACATGTATATTTAATTTATTTATTATATTTATATCCCACTTTTTTTCTCCCAAGAAACTCAAGGCAGCTTACATAAGTTTCTACCACCTCTCAATCATATCCTCACAACAACCCTGTTAGGTAGGTTGGGCTGAAAGTTTGGACTTATTGACTGGCCCAAACTCACCCAGTGAGCTCTATGGGGACTAGAACCCAGATCGCTTGAGTCCCAGTCTCACATTCTTAACCATGACACCACAATGGCTCTCAGTATAAATTAACAAATGCAAATATATGCAAATTGACATTATCTTTAGTTTTCTTTTTCTCAATTTCCTATATGGCCAATTTATCTTGCCAGAATGGTCTGGCCACATAGAAATTGCCAAAAAATATTTAACAAAATAAACTTTTCTGTTAAAACATGCTGGCAATCAATAATACAGGTATCTACAGTTAATGGCATATGCCCTGTTGCAATTAATGTAACAATGGGCAAAAGTGGAAATATTTAAGAAAGAGATTTCACACAAACTGCCTTACATTTCCCATGTCTATTTTGATGACTCTCTGGTCACTGTATCTCTGTCCCTGGCTGTTCTGTGTTTCCTAAAATTCCCTTTTACTCTGCCCACAATTTTCAGCAACTGTTCTGCTTTAAGTTACTGCTATTGTGGGTACAGTGCAGCCTTCAATTTCTTGGTTTGATCACAGTTGGGGCTCAGGAAACAAATATGAAAAGCTGAAAAAGGAAGTCTCTATTGCTATCATAACTGCATACATAATATTGCTTTTAGGAAACAAGATTTATTTCAAGAGGGCAAAGCATAAACACCATTAAAGCACTATCTTTAGAAAAAGAGATGTTCTTGGAAAACTACTTGAATATGCTTTAGATACAGACATTTTTTTAATGTAGGGACTCCAAAGATTATATTCCATGGATCTCTGCCTGACCAACTGTAGTCTTATAAGCCTTATAAGACCTTAAAGCAGTGCTGTCACATTGCGTTGTGAGAATGAATGTGGACTGAATTACACACACACACACACCGTAGGAGGTCATTCAGTGGTTTGGCCATATATGAGGAAAACAAATGAATGTCAACAGGATTCTGCATATCTCAGGGCTGGGAAAGTGGTTAAGAACAAGCAGTGGAGCAGACATTTGTGAGATGTCTACTGCCTAACTGAGTGGGTGGAGGATGCGCCTCTGTTTCTAGATTGCAGTAACAAATACCTCTGGGAAGCATCATGAAGAAAACTACAGTGGAGATTCAGGTTGCCAAGAATGATGATTTGGTGTGAGAACTTTTCTTTGTTAAAATTAAACAGTTCCCGACTTGACTGCAGAAGTGTTGGCTTGGCTCATGGAAGTTTCCCAAGCAAAGGGTGTCAGCAATTTTCCTTGGGATTTAGCGAATGAGTTGTGTTGAATGATGGATCAGGCCACAGCAAATTCAGTAACTATTGTTTACCTGCCGTTCTTAAAGCCTATGTGTTCTGGCTATGTTTACTTGGAAGTAAATACCACTGAGTTAGAAGGGATTGTGATGTGGAGGGTCCTTAGTGCATTCTTATTCAGATGGTTCAAACAAACAACCCTTTAGAAGGAAGAAAACCTGTTGCTCCTCCTAAATCATTCTGTGCTCATTCTACCATACAGATAACCAAGAAGGGATACTACAATTCTATATAGATGATGAATGTATCTGATTATACATATAGACTGCTACAGGAGGGCCTGTGGCTTAGCAACCGAGTAGATGCTTTGCAGGCAGAAGTTCCTAGGTTTGATCCAAGGCATCTCCAAGTGGGTCAGGGAAATATTTTTCCTGAAAGCCTGGTGAGCCACTGCCAGTCAGTGTTGGCAACAGTGGGTTAGATGGACCAAAGAACTGACTCAATACATGGCAGCTCCCTATGTCCCTTTCTGAGAAACTTCATATTCTTCTTGTATTAGCTCATGAGTTTTGTTGTGCAGGTAGGGGTTGTGTCCTGGATATGATATATATCAAATAATCCACCTAAAATGCAATTCCCTAAATATATCAGTGTTCCGTATTGTCTGCTTAGAACACAATGGTGCTTAGTTTTTGAGTCTGGTATTACCCTTATGCAATTTTAGGTTTATATATATTTTAAATAGGTGAGACAATGGAATAATTGCATTGCTGCATCAGTTAAAGTTCCATTTGAGTTGTTATGTATAGTCAAGTGGTGAAACCCTATGGAGACCCTATGAATAAAAGCCTTCCAGTATGTCCTATTCTTAACAGCCTTGCTCAGCTCTTGTATACTCAAGGCTGTGGCTTCCTTTATGGAATCAGTCCAATTCATATTTGGTTTTCCTTTTCTTCTTCTGTGTTTGACTTTCCCTAGCATGATTCTCTTCTGCAGTGAGTCTTGCCTTCTCCTGATGTGTCTGAAGTATGACAACCTCAGTATTGTCCTGTTGGCTTTCAAGGAAAGTTCTGGCTTGATTTGATCTAGGAACTCTTATTCAGCTTTCTGTCAGGTCAGTGCATTTGCAAAATTCTCTACCAGCACCACATTTCAAATGCATCAGTTTGCTTCCTCCCGGCATTCTTCCTTGTCCAGCGTTCACAACTATACATAGTGATTGGGAATACAATAGCATGGATGATCTTGGCTTTGGTTTCCAGTGAAAGGTCCTTACACTTGATGATATTATCTAGTTCCTTCATTGCTGATCTTTGAAGTTTCTGTCTTCTCTGAAGTTCTTCAGAACCTATATTTGAACTGATGATTGAATCAA